TTGCAGCAGCGGCGGTGATTTTGGTTGATCGAAAAATACACAGAGGAGAGGAGAAGAGGGTGGAGGCAGTGGCTGCGGCAATTTTGTCGATTGAAAAATAGATAGAGAAGGGGGCGGAGGAAGAAGATGATCGCCGCTGCCGCCGGAAATTGTAGCGGCGGTGGCGATTTTGGTCGATCCAAAATCGAGAGAGAAAGAGAGAGAACAAGCGACCGCCAGACTCCTTTGTTCCCTTTGCTGCTGATGTTTCTTTTCTAGTCTAGAGAGAGAGAACAGACAAGAGAGACGGGAGAGAGAGAAAGAGAGAACAGGCGAGAGAGAGGGTGCGCTGCTACTGTGTCATCCCGTCACAACTAACATAAGGTGAAGGGGAAAGAGACGTTGTTTAATGGCCTATCACCTCGAATAAAAAATAAAGTACTTGAAAAATATTTCTGGAACGGTTATAGATATTCATCTGATCTGTTTCATGGGGAGACTGGATTTTGGGGATTCTTCTTTTTCGGTGGAAGACATCGGACGGTGATTGAAATAGAAGACACGTTTAATTTTTGAAGGGTTGCAGCAGCCTTGTATTGCATTCATTTGTAATCTTTTCCACCACCGCTAAAAGAACACCCTCGCAAGGGTTGCAGTCTTGCAGACATGCATTGGCGCTGCCGATGCCGCCACCGTGGGCGGTGGTTGCGGCAGTCGGTAATTGGACGCGATCTTATCTATTCAATAAAATAAACAAAATAAATAAGAAACATATCAAACAAAACACATATAAAGATCTAAATTTGGAAAAACAAAGGAAGAAAGCATGGGGACGAACCTGCAAATGAACATCGTGGAGGGAATCTGGGCCGGCAACTAAAAAAGTCGCTTGAAGCTTTTCTTTGAGGCCATCGCACAAACAGCAACCTGGTTTGGTGTAGAGAACGAGCTTCCTTGAGGGAGATCGATTTCGGCCGACAACGAACGGCGCTGGAACCACCACAACAGTAGCCGTGGCTACCACCTCGGGCTCTTCTTTACTATATTCCTCAGATTTCTTCTTGTTGCCGCTGTTGGTGTTATTATTGTTGATTCTTATGAATCAATGAAGTCTCTTGTATTTTCGATTTCGCCACTCAAACTTGCCGGAATCTCGCCGGAACCTGCAGCTTCACTAACATTTTCCCGGCGATTTCTAGCTGGAATGAGCTTGCTGGCAAGATCCCAGAGAAGCTCTCCGGATTGTAGGGGCTGTCGGTCCATAGGAAAGGGATGAGGGTAACATTGGGTTTTTAAATTTTTAAAATTCACATAATGTCATGTGTATACGGATTTTAACCGAAAATAAAGGGACCCCAGCGGTAAAGGTAGAGTTAGTGAATTGTCAGAATGGATATATTTAGTCAATTTTTAAACAGTAAAGATAGAGTTAATCAATTAGTTAAATCATAACAGTTATCCTTATAAATATAACATATATTTATATTTATAAATACATTGCATATAAATTTATATATAATATATACTATTTAGTTTGATTAACTGTCAATTTTTCATTTCATTTAATAGAAACTGAACTTGTACCATCTGTTTCTTGACAAAAATAAAACACCTAACCAAAATATTCAATTAACAATTCGGTTCAATTTTTAGATTTTTCAGTTTTTGTTGAATACTTTTAGCTTAGATGAGATAAGATTAGCTGAATATAATAGCTATTCAATGAGCTGTGGAACCAATAATAACACTCCACGATGGTCATAAAATACATGGGCCTACAACCATTTCCACATCTTGTTGCACAGCTTAAGCCTTCAGCAAATTGTAATTTAACTCAGACTGACTGATTGATAGGATAAAAATGTGAGTCTTGATATCCTACCTACGACAACTCTACCTACATCTATCCATGAGATCGCAATCATATGTGGAGAATATTTCACTACCTTACATGGTGTTATGCATGGGGAAATGTTTCGATAGTATTTTGTGGGCAGAGTTGTGGTGGGTAGGAGATCCMGAGTCTAAAAATATACCTTGATTGGGTATCATCCACAACTCGGAATCTGCTACCCACAAGGTGTGCCCACATCCATACCAAGCACCACCACCACCACATATTGGGAACATCTCTCCCCATGAATGACAAGGGAGATATTCCCAATTAGGGGTGGATATGAATTGAGCTTTTCATGAGCTCGAGCTTGGTCTAGACCGAGCTTCGAACTAAATTCGAGCCTGAGTACCGAGCTCATTTACTAATCGAGCCAAGCTCGAATACTATGTAATTCGGTTTGTTAGGCTCGCGAGCCTATTCGAGCCCTATATATATAATTTTTATATTTATATAATATTCATATATAATTATATAATTTATATTTAATTTTATTGGTGTACACACACTTATATTGTGGTCCATATTGTATCTTAGATTTTCTTATTTTGTCTAATGGGGTGGGAGGAAAGAAAAAACCCTCATAACATTCAATTGAAACTTGAAGTCTTGAATTGTCGAACTGGTTTGAAAAGTGAGAAGAGAAGACTGAGAACATGAAAAGTCACAGTTTCACAGACAAACAGAGAGCAAGTGCGAGTGTGCAACAAGTGAAGACGCCACCATTGAAGAGGATTACCTATGATCTGTGACTCTACGATTCCCGGTCTCCTTCTTCTTCTTCTTATTTTGGATTTTCTTATGGCTTCTACAGGGTCTTTGTGATTTTGGTTCATCTTGCAAGTTGTATCCACACCATTAAAAAGGTAGTTGAAATATGTAATGTTTAATTTAGGACCTTTAGGTTCAACCGTTCATCTTACAGATTCATTTGTAATTCTTATGGCTTCTATAGGGATTTTGGTTCATCCCTATAGATTCCTCTGTAATTTTTAGTGTGGTTAGTTTTTTTTTTTTTTCTTGATTTGTTTCTAGTTGTTTTATGTTATAATATGTTTTGAGATTCCTTTGACTTCTCAAAAGGGACGAATGATTAGTCATGCAATGTTTCGGGTTTATAATTTTTTTTCTTCAAGTTTATAATTTCTTTTTCTTGATTAGGTGAAGAATGATAACATTCATTCTGAATTTCTACAAGTCATTTTTCAATTAAAAAGTTGTCTCCCATTGTAACAAATTAAATTATGACTATCAAACTGAACCTGGTCCACGGTGTAGATGGTTTGCCACTTAGCTCATTTTATTAATAAAATGATCAGTTGATCACCCTCATAGAAAACACATGTCATAGGTGCTTTTGCACTGTCCAATTGATAAAATGATAAGTCAGATTACTTGGTTGCATTCATCCAATTAGACTAGAACAAATTATACACATTCCGACTTCAAAGTTGATCGCATGCTTTTGGCACCATTGTCGAGGATTCAAAAACTGAAATTTCAAATGCTTGTACACCAGTCTATGGAGGCGAATGAAAGAAAATATTAAAGAAAACCAGTTATCTCAGTTCAACTTGAATGAAGATATTCTGTTTCATTTCTTTATTGAATTGAAGTAAATTCTGAAAAATGGTTGAAATGTTAGCTTCAAAATTCTGGTCTTTTGGTCTGAATGAAGTGTTCCGCCTTTGATGTTGTCATTTTAATTTTCTCTAGTCTTGTGTGTTGATTAGTTAAGCTTCTTCCACGAAGGGACATGGAGGGTCATATTATTTTTCCCTCGAAATGTTCTCTTTAAATAATAATTCTATGATAAATGTGTGACACAAAAATTGCCAGATGGCTTAGCTGGTAATGTTGGGTGGAAATAGTTGCCACTTGTCACTGACTTGAAAACTTGTGTGACCGTAAATTATTTGAAGGTTGTAAGATTTTGCTGTGGCCATGGTTGCAGTAGATGCGGATTCCACTCCTAGGTCAATGTTTTTGATTGTCTAGACTCTAGACTCCACCCTTGGTGGGAGGTTAACCTGCGTCAAGGGAAAGGTCGTGGGGATCTCCTCAAAATAGAAATGCTGCAAACACTGAGCTCGGATTTGAGCTTGAATTCGAGCTCGAGTAGGTTCATTATCAAGTTCAAGCTGAACTGAACTTGAATATAAATGTTTTTTATTCGAACTGATATTTTTAGTTCAAATCGAGCCCAAATTCGAGTTTGATATTTTATTATCGAGTTGAACTCGAATAATCAAATATTTGGCTCGACTCAACTCGTATCCACTCCTATAATCCCAATGCACAGTTGTCATGTCTAGTGGGTAGAGATGTGAGGTCATCTCGTGGATAACAAATCTAAGCTCCAAACTAAGTTGAAAATTGAGAGCACATGGCAGGCCTTGCGGCGGAGGATCTGCTACTCACAAGAGGGCTCTTCACATCAACCTCATAGAATGTTTCAGCCGCACATGGAGAATATTTCCCAATTTTCATGGGATATTTCCCAATCCACGGTGAAATGGGGTGTTAGAAGCGATTTGTGAGGAGCAGATATCAATTCCTTGTGACCCACCAATTAAGTAATCGCTGACACGTCCGCATGTGATTGAAAGTCACGAGAGTGCTGCGAGATGTGTGGAGATGGGCTTCAGTCACTGCAAGGCCCGTTCGAACACCGATCTCCATCTGAAATGGGATTCAGTCAGTGCAATGTCCGTTGAAACAACCGTGATAGCTTGCATTACGAATATCTCCGTATTTCTATATTTTATTTCATAGAGAGATATTCCTAGGCTATCATGGTTGTTTGAACGCACTTTGCACCGACTGAATCTCATTTCAGATGTGTGTGCTCTCGAAATCTTGGCCTTCGGGTCTTTGACATAATAGAACCCTCCACTTGTTTGTTTCCAATTGGCCCACGATAAGGAAAACTCTGAGACCGGATCTGCTCATCACAAGGGCGCTTCCCACGCGCCTCACACGCACATCTTATCATGCATTGGAAACATCTCCCGTATTTATAAGTTACTTTTTTACGAGAGATATTCCCAATACACGGTGATGTACACCTGAGGCGCCCAAGTGTGAGGAGCAGATCCCATCCCGAAAACTCTATAGAATCTCCACGAGTCGGGTGGTCTGCTTTCCAGAGCTTYGAGTGATGACTGAAATCTATACCTCCGTCGAACCTGCGACTGAAGAAACATTTGCGCCTGATACCTATTTCATTCTCTGAGATTATTCTTAGGGTTCAGACCTCTTCCCCGCTCCGTCTTTTTCAATTACTATTTGCCTTTTAGTAAAGAACGTTAGTCTGTTCATAGGTATCGGAGAGTTGGAGACGATTGGAGTTGTCTTAGTTCTGATTATATGGATGATAATTAGTCTTCCTCTAATGAAATATCTTCTTGCTGTTGATGTGGTCTTGGAGGTCCGCGGAGCTTTATTTTTTGTTTGGAAGAGATTCTTTTGAACCAGATGGCAGATCGTTATTGGATTGTTTTTTGCGCGGCATTTTCGTGTTTGGTTGGAGTTCTCAACGCCAGTCCCGGTGACTCTGATCCGCTTTACAAGTAGGTTTCTGTTCGTTTCTTTTTTGGTAGTTGTGATTAGGTAAATCTTTACCTAAATTGTTGTTTAATGCGTTATCTTGATCAAAAATGGATTTCATAAATCATAAGTACATTTTATTTGCTTTGAAGAAATGGAAGGAGAGCATAGATTCCAAACGCAATTCTACCGTGACAAAAGAAAATAAATAAATACTAAACATCTTGGAAGAAAGTGGAGGAAATAAACCAGTAAAGTAGATCTTTCTCATTTATGGGTAGTCTTGAATGAGAATAATCCTCTTCTGTAGGGAAAGGTGCTAAGTATATTGGTTGTAAGACACAAATTGTTGTTGATGGTGTCTAACCGGTGGTCATTGAACAGTGAGATTGGACGGGGATAAGGAACATGGGACTTATTTGACCGGTACAATATCATCATATCCTTGATTTCCCGTTCAAGAAAATATACTGAAGTTTCTTGAACACTTGTTGCCTTTTCTTGGGAGAGTTGATATTGAAGCTTAACTACATCTATTTGTAAATGAGCAACCGTCAGCTGGATTTAAATCAAAAGGCTAGTTAATCATTTTAGGAAGTTGATCCCACAATTACAGCATGATGCATTATGTTTGAGGTCTAGAGCATAACCTCATTGCTTAAACCATTCAACCTGTAGTAATTTCCATAAAAATTTTTCAGATGGTCAATCAATTTTTTTTCCTGAAAACCTAGGATTAAAAGCCAACACTCATAAAAAAAGTTATTCTGTAACTGGTTTTAGGTACTGATTGAAGCTGCATGTTACCATTTTATGGTATCCAGGCAGAAAACCAATGTGGAAGGTGTATGGGGGGGACCGGGGTGGGGGGGTGGGGCACCTTCCCCAGACTCTGTTTTTGCACCTAACAAGGGAAAGTACAGTAAAAGTCTTATGCTCTCTAGATTCAATGGGACCATGACGTCAAACAAATGGCTGAAAAGATCTTCTCTAGAAATCAAGGATGGGGTTTATATAAATGTGTAAGGGAAAACATGGTTTCTGATCCATATTCATCAAAAAATAATGTATGAGTTCCATTGTTGCTAAGTGAAGCTAACCAAATGTTAAATCATAAGCTTTATTTGTCAGCCATAAGCTGTTTATGCCCATTCTCCCTACTCTTGATTTTCTTTGATTGCAAATGATTTTACAGTATTCTATTTAAAAACTTCATTGGTCATTGTTGCCAGTATGAAAAAAGTGCATACGCAACCAAGTTGGCATGCTGCATATGAAAAAAAATGCAATTAAATTTGAGTCTGGATCTGCTCCGACCACTTTGCTGTGGTCAATTGTGCTATACAATAAAATTGAAACATGTATTCACAAGCTCATGTGTATGTTGTCCTCATACTAGGATTAGCACAGCCTCCACCATTCTTGTATTCATGTTTTTGTTTCTTATGTGCCAAGGCCAACTTTTTTCTTTTTTTTTTTTTTTTTGAAAATAGTTTTCCAAATTCTAGCCCCCTTTGTCTTTCCTGTTTTTTCCTTTTCATTCCCAAGTCCCAAACCTCCAATCCTTCTTTCTCTCTGTTGTCACATCCACTGCCAGCACCACTGGCTTGGGTCCACCATTTAAAGTAACCACTGCTACTGTAAAATGTAAGGGTATCCCTAAAAAAAATGCTAAAATTTTTTCAAGCATCTTTCAGAAACAAGCTTATAAAATAAAGAACAGAAATTCCATAATCCCATCATTCCTCTACTCTGCAACCTGAAAAGAACTTGTTATGCCTATATGAAAAGGAGCTTGTGAAGATGTGTCACAAAAGAAGTTAAAAAGGGAGTAGCATAGAATTAAACTCTTCCTTCTTTGGCCTGCTCTCTGGTGTGTTATGTGTAAATGTGCAACATGAACTTGGCATGGCCCATAGTGTCTCTTGGAAATACAGATATGCTGCTAGAGAAATAAAAAACATCTTAGAGGAAATGCGAGCAAAATATAACATTGATACCCTTGTCTGCCAATGGGTTTGCAAAACAGGTGCTGTAAGAGACAGAATGTATTGGAGCCAAGTGATATATTATAAGAAAATGGTTATGTAATGTGGTGGGAGTTAGCTGAGGCTAACTACCCCAAGGGGATGCAAGATTGCTCGTTGTGTTTCTTTTTATTTAGCAGCATTAATGAAACTGACAGTTATTAAGCACTATGATTTCCACTCAATACAAAACCAGGTTCCCCCTGACCCCATTATGAATCCGCCCTGTTTACCCTTTGTCTAGCCAGTCTATCAGCCAAACTGTTCCCACCTTTCGAGGTCCAAAGAAAAGTAGCATTCAGTTCTGCTCTGCCGCCAGTAATCAGACAAATACTTGTATATCCAAGTTCCTATGGAATTATTTCTTAACCAACCCTCTATCACCTTAGTGTCTCCCTCCACTGTCAGGCTTCTATAATTTAGAGATACTGCCATCAGTTCATCCCTTGTTGAATTTCCATTCCCAATGGATCCTGAATAGTACCATTATAGATCCATCATGGCATCTGAAAAGTCCTCCTATACCTGAATTTCCCAGATTCCTTAAAATGCTCCATCAAAGTTTAGCTTAAAGTATTGCAGATCATTAGGCTTCCAGTTATACTTTTCAGCGGAAGAATCAGCAATAATTTGCCAATTCCTTGCCATGTCATCATTAGTCCTCTATCCAAAATTGTATCTATAAGTCCACACTTCTTCACAGAACAGCTGCTCTTGGGCACCTCCATAAAGCTTTCTCCCTCTTCTTGGGTGGTGAGAAGAAGGATGTCCTGAAAAGAGTCTTTAGATCTGGGGGGGGGGAGGGGGGAATCTATAGGATCATAGGAGGTTTAAGTATGGAGTTGTTTCACTACTAGCCCTGCATGGAAAACGTATGTTAGGGGAGATACACCAATCTCTTTTGTAGATTTTCACAAGGTTGATCCTATCGCCCTCCTTTTATAACATCCTTAATTATCTCCCTGAGAATGCCAAGATCTTCACCTTATACATGGATTTTCAGTCAGAAAAGAAAGTATTCAAATCTCCCATCTTCAGTTTGCAAATGTTACAATCTTATTTCTTGAATGCAGGAAAGAGTATATTCTTTTGAAGAAAGTAATGATTTAATTAAAGATGAGGGACAGGGTACATGAGGAGATGTACAACTGCAAGGAATGACTCTCCAATGAGATTACAAGGGTAAAATGCAGTTACTGGTATCTATTATGGGTGCTACATTAGTGCAGCAGAAATTGGTGGAATCATCCGCAGGGCTGATGGTGCTACATTATGGGTTTTAGTGGGCCAATAGAAGAGTCCAGTTCCATAGAGCACAGGTTTAAGCCCTGTTGATTGGTCTCAGAATTGTTAGGTATCTATCAAATCACTTTGATAACTATTGGTATTGGAGACTTGTAAAAGGCTATTTTACGGTCTTAAAGTGTGGACAGTGGCCCTTGGATACTATCTCTCATCTTCTCAATGAAATTAGAGAAATCCCATCTCTGCTGAATGGCCAGATTAGATTCCAGGGAAGCTAAACCCAATGGCTCATGGATTAGCTAAATCAAGGGTTAAGAGGTCCTTTTTGTTATGTAGCTTTTATACCTCTTTAGTATAGCCCTTTAGCTTGCTGATTATAATGAAACTACCTCTTTCTCAACAAAATAAGGAAAAAAAAAAGAAGAAAAAGGAACTAGAAACCTATCAAAGGAAAAAGAAAAAAGAACTAGAGGCAGGGGAAGATATGGGGGGGGGGGATGGAAATTGACTTGACAGGAAGGGATGATGGCATGCGGATTATGGGTCCTTGGAAGTTTTCTGGGTGTTTGTCACGTTGGTTGGTTGGTCATTCTTCAGGTTTGGTATTTCAACTTCATTTCTGGTGGTTTACATAGTGCATGCTTTAAGTATTGGATGGTTAGTTTTTTGTTCTGGTTGGGTATTTAAGCTTTGTTTCTATTGGGGCTGCACAGTGCATGGTTTAAGTGGGTCTTTATTGTGCTTAAGTGTTGATCATGATGTTTAAGGTCGGGTTTGTAGGGTGTGGATCCTTATTTTGACATTCCCCTTTTTTGTTTTCTTTAGATTTTTCTGCTTTTTTTTCACATGGGCTACAAAGCCCATATACACCTTGTATACTTTGTTTCGTTTTTTTTTTTTTTTGCTTTTTAATTAATTTTCTTTAAAGAAATAAGTGGGATAATGGTCTATTTTGTTTTGTAATCTTTTTGGTCTTTCATGTGCTTGATAAAATTCTATTCCTTGAAAGTAGTTTAACATAGATAGAATTGGATTTGGTTATTATCTATAACAAACATTCTCCCTGTGATTCTACTAGGCTGGGTTGAACCGTGATATATAATTTCATAATAAAATTTTGGATTCCAGGTCTTGTGTAGACCAGTGTGAGAAGACTGGTTGTGTTGGGGATACATGTTTTCAGCACTGCAGGTTCTCATCCGATGGGATCCCTGTTGATGGTCCATGGTACATGCAAGAACCACTATATCTGAGGTGGAAACAGTGGGATTGTCAGAGTGACTGTCGGTACCACTGCATGCTTGATAGAGAAAGGGAAAGAGAGAAACTCGGTAACAAACCAGTCAAATATCATGGAAAGTGGCCTTTCTGGCGTGTCTTTGGCATTCAGGTTTGAATTCCAGTATCCTAGTATTTTTATATTTGAGTGCCACTTTGAAATCAATAGTTTCTTAAATCTTAATTGCTTGTCTGCTTTACCTGCCTCTAGTAAAATGATAAGAGAATAGTTTAAAAAGAGACATTATTCATGTTTTCAGGAGCCTGTTTCTGTGGCACTTTCTACATTAAACCTTGCAATACAGTTCCATGGATGGCTATCTTTTTTCATTTTACTGTATTACAAATTGCCTCTGAGGCCAAATAAGAAGACGTATTATGAGTACACCACCTTGTGGCATATCTATGGGCTCTTATCAATGAATTCCTGGTTCTGGAGTGCTGTTTTTCACACACGGTAATCTTTTGCTTCTTTCTTTTTTCTTTTGTTTTTTTTTTCCTTTTTCTTTTTCCTGATGACTTTGCCACTTCCTTAATGAAGGGGGAGGAGATGGGTATAGAGTTCTCTAATTATATCTGTACCCCCACCCCCCGACACATGCACACACAAAAAGGAAAGAAAAGAAAAATAAAAGGATTAACTCATTGTCATTTTGGAGTAAATAGGAAGTTTTGGTTACATTGTTTGAAACTGTCCACCCTTTAAGATGTCCTGGAAGCGTCACTGGAGTGTCACGTGTGCAGATATTTATCTTTCTTGGCCTAATGAGACTAAATTGCAATTCTTCTGTGCATAATAATTAATACATCATTCGAGAAATTGGCTAACTTCATTTTCCCTGTTTTTCTTTTTTTCGGTTTTTCTATATTGAATCATTTTTGCAGAGATGTAGATCTGACAGAGAAGCTAGACTACTCTTCAGCTGTGGCCTTACTTGGATACACCCTTATTCTAGCCATACTTAGAACTTTCAATGTCAAGGATGAGGCTGCTAGAGTCATGGTTGCTGCTCCATTAATTGCATTCGTGACAACCCATATCTTATATCTCAACTTCTATAAACTTGACTATGGTAAGCCTTGATTGGTTCACATAAGATTTCTCCATTAAAAGATACACATACAGCTACACGTTGCTAAAATACCATATTTGTAAAGAATTTTTAAGATCCTCTCGCATCCTCTGTTATGCTTTGCTCATGTTTATGGTGTCCCTGATCTATTTGGAATAATCAAAATTTTAAGAGCCAAGAAACTCCATTTTAACAACTATTGACTTTCAATTGCATGGATTTTACCTTGTCAACTTTTTTACGTGTACAACTATGATCTAGTTTGATGAATAACTAGGACGTAGTTTTCTCCCACTAAAAAATCATCCTTTTAGATATACTGCGTATTTTACTGTTTCATCAAGAACTTGTGCATGTATTGATGGTCTGACATACTATGACAGGTTTGAACGTGAAAGTGTGTGTTATCATTGGCATAGCTCAGCTTCTTCTCTGGGCTGTCTGGGCTGGGCTGTCTGGCCATCCGTCAAGATGGAAATTGTGGGTGGTTGTTGTGGGTGGAGGCCTTGCCATGCTCTTAGAGATATATGATTTCCCTCCATACCAAGGATTTGTGGACGCTCATGCTCTCTGGCATGCTGCCACCATCCCTTTGAGCTACCTCTGGTGGAGTTTCATCAAAGATGATGCAGAGTTCAGGACTTCGAGTCTTGTTAAGAAGGTAAAGTAGGTAAATGTGCTTGTTGTGCAATCAAAATCAGACAATTTGTATTCAATTAACAATTGTCAACCCACTTCGTCATATTAATTGATACTGGATTTTCTCCTTTTTTGTCCTTCCAAAATGCTTGTCGGAATGTCTCTCTAGAATTTCATCTGTGTATGATTGCTGAAACCATGGGGATGTTCAGTGACTTCTTTTTTTTTAATGGAGAAGAAATCCCATTTTACCATCGCTGCTGTTCTTACCTTTTAGGCTCCATTTGCTTTTCGATAAGTTACTTACCCATATTGATAAAAAAAGGAAGATAAGTTACTTACCCATGTTCTTTTATTTTCCAAGTAAATAATCTAATGGCCATTTTAGCCATAAAAGTCCTTTATTAAAAGGGATATTTTTGTTTCATCCAAGTATTTTCTTAACGTAAAGCTGTCAAATGAATGACATTGTCTGAAATACTAAAAGATGATAGTATAGGAACAGTGATCAGTTTTAGAGAAAATTCCACAAACGAATTGTATGCTAATATTTTATTAGCTAGGTAAATAAGTGATCCTATACTATCATTAAATATTGGGTAAAAGACTCGAAGTTTTCATTATTTAACTTAAATCTAAATTTTTTAAATGGACTTAAAAGATACCTTGTGATTGTTTTACCCTCTTTTTCCCCTTCCAACCATTAGCAAGAATGATAAGTGAGGCTTTAACATGGATGTAGAGATTGATTAGGCTCAGTTTGGATGTTTTGACAGCTGTAGGTATTGGCTATACAAATACAAAGCTTTCAAAAAATATACAAAGCTTTCAGAAAAGGATTTGAAATGACAAATCCTTTAATACCAAAAGCTTTCAAAAAACACCATATACAAAGTTCTCAAAAAAAGATTTGAAATGACAAATCCTTTAGTACCAATTACCAAAGGAAAGAGAAGCATATGCATCTTTAAAAGAATTAGATTACCATTATGCATAGACATGCATTGGTTTGCACCACTGTGAAACCCTTATTTTCCAGGCTAATTGAAGACCATCTTTATTATAATTGAAATAATAGAATATAAGACAGGTGAACAAACAACAAATTTCATTTGTTAAATGGCAAAATAAGATTTAGGGTAAATTACAAAGACCCCCCCGGGTCAGTGATAAAGACCCCTGTACTCCTGAACTTTAGTTGTTAGACAAAGACCCTTCTCCATTAGTATTTCGTCAATTATCTTTGAAAATATTTTTATTTAACTATTTTATTTTATAAATCCCCAAATTACCCTTTTCTTATTTATTTGAATGGTAAGAAAAGGCATTACTATAGATACCCATCACCACACTAAAACCATAAAGGAAAAGCAAGAATCATTAGGCTCTGTTTGGTTTGCAGGAAAATTTGGGTGGGATGAGAAAAAATGGGATGGGATGGGAAAGTGTAAAAAACACTTTCATTATTTGATTTTATATATGGGAAAATAATAAAAAAACACTGTTACGAGGGAGAAGAGAGAAGAGGAAGATGGAGGGAGAGACAGAGAACTCTATAACTAAAGCTCTGATCTGTGTCTGCGAACCCAGATCGAGGGAGAAGAGAAAAGAGGAAGATGGAGGGAGAGACAGAGAACTCTATGACTAAAGCTCCGATCTGTGTCTGCGAACCCAGATCTAAATTTTACCATAGCAGAAAACCTTTGATATGTATTTGCATCGATCTGGGTTTTATCATGACAGAAACAATTTCAACGGTGGTTACTAGCAGAGAGAAAAAGAATATTCTTAGAATATTCCCTTTTTCTCGTCTCATCCCACAAACCAAACTCCCTATTTCTCTTGAAACAAATGAGAGAAAAAGAATATTCTTAAAATATTCCCTTTTTCTAAATATGCAAATGACCAGAAATCAACTAAAAGATAGAAGCCACATGCATAGTCTAAACTACTGATTTCCGTAAAATTCCATTACAACCTACCTTATCGATACAAACCAATAGCACCATATATTTCAACCCCTCTTCTCCGAATACAGTGGGTTGCGTGAGAAATGTTTTAATCGTACTGGACCCCTCTTCTCCGAATAGTGCGTTGCCTGAGAAATGAAATGTTTTATTCGTAATACTAGAGAAAACTGGGCAACTGACAAGATACCCGATTTGAACTTGTTATCGATACAACTGACAAAATACTTAGCGTATATTTTGGCCTTTCAACGGATACCACTTCAGTACTTCTGTTCTGTCATGTGAGCCAACTCAAGGACCAATAATAGACAATAACAACAATGATTCCAATCGATGCTCCTGCCCTGTTCTCGTGTCAATGCTTTAACTACTGGAGGAATTAATCATCTTAAATTACAATCGTTAATGCTTTTATAAATTATAATGAACAGCTTAACTTTGTATTAACTAACGAAATCAACACATTCCATGCTGCTTAACCAGTTCGGCACCCAAATCGTTTTGATTATTGATGTAACCGTTTTTGGTCATATCTCAATTTTTTGTGATGTATAAAATTTTTTTTGGTTAAGTACCTCGTTATTTGACCCGGTGGTGACGTGCCTTGGTGATGAGCTACTTGGTGGCGAACTCTCTGGTGGCGAGCTCTTTGGTGGAGAGCTATTTGGTGACGAGCTACTTGGTGGCGAACTGCCTGGTGGCGAGCTCCCTGGTGGAGAGCTACTTGGTGGTGAACTGCTTGGTGGCGAACTCCCTGGTGGCGAGCTCCCTGGTGGCGAATTGCTTGGTGGCGAACTCCCTGGTGGCGAATTGCCTGGTGGCGAGCTCCCTGGTGGAGAGCTATTTGGTGGACTCGTCGTTTGACCTACTCCTATGCGGCCTGCAACTCAGAGGATGGTGGAGCTCCCTAGTGCAGCGCAACCCGACTACCCTCTACATGAGGTGATTTCCTCTCCTTTGTAGGCGGCAGGAGTTGAGGGACCTGCGAGAACTGAATCAGAGGACCCGGGGGTATTTTCCCGGCGGGGACTCTCCGATGCCTAAGTTAGCATTCTGGTTACAGAGAGCTTGGAGATAAATGAGAGAGCTAGAGAGCAGGGGTTACCATCATTTTTTCCCTCTCCCTAGCTTTGGGAGTCGGAGTCCTTATATAGTGGTGTCCTCGCGGGTTAGGTGGATGCAAAGCCTTCAAACGGTAAGACTCGTCACATCCCGTCAGAACCGGGGTACGGTGGTGAACTCCTCGAGGTTGTTAGGCTGGCGCTTGTGTCAGGCGGCCAGGTCGGCGCCTGGGCCAGGTTGTCAGGTCGGCGCCTGTGTCAGTCAGCGGGTCGGTGTCTGGGCCAGGTTGTCAGGAAGGAGATCTTCCTGCGATACGCCAACCTACTCTTCTGTACCGAGCTACCCTACAAGTGGCGAGCTGCCCGGGGGAGCTATGCCGAGCTGCTTGTGGCGAGCTTTGCCGAGTTGCTTGGCTCCTTGGTGGCAAGCTCCTTGGAGAGCTGCCTAGCTCCTTAGTGAGCTCTTTGGTGAGCTACCGAGATTGCAGGGTATGCCGTTATGGTTCATCGGTGGGCGTCTTATGGGTTGCCAGGTCGGCCAGGTCGGATCATGTGCCGGGCTGATCCAGGTTGGCTAGGTCGCGCAGGCCGCGTGCAGGCCGCGCGCCACTTGTCACGTGTTGCCCTTAGGCTGCGTGACTTGGTAAGTTTTTGCCTGGGTGTCGCCTAGTTGTCACGAGGTGCCACGTGTCGCAATTTCACTGGAGGGCCAAATCTGCCCTCATCATTTGCACCCCACTCCCGAGCTGAGAGTAACTCAGCGAAGGGAGTAGATTTCTTTTGGCCCGTAAGCCAACAAGCTAGTAAGTGCTGATCCAATTCCTTAGGATTTGGGAGCTGCCTGTATGTGGCGAGCTGCCAGTAAGGCGAGGGGGTCTCCTCCAGTTCAGTAGTGTAGCCCTTAGGCTCTGGGGGCAACTTATAGTTCACTTTTGCTGATTTTGCTCCTACTGAGGAAGCGACTAAATATTTAGTAATAGTGTGGCCCGTAGGCTTTGGGAGTGACTCGTAGTCTACTCTTTTTTTTTTCACTTTGCCCATGCCGAAGAGGCGACCAGGTAGTAATGTGGCCCGTAGGCTTTTGGGAGTGACTCGTAGTCTACTCTTCTTTGACTTTTGCCCATGCCGGAGAGGCGACCGGGTCTTAAGCAGTAATGTGGCCCGTAGGCTTTGGGAGTGACTCGTAGTCTACTCTTTTTTGACT